GCCGCTGCCGCCCTGGGAGCTCCCGCCACTGCTGCCCCCGCCCGAGCCCGTGCCCGCGGGGCGAGGGGGATCAGCCACGGGGCCCCGCGGGCGGCCATGGCGCCGGCCTCGCCGTGATGGCCAGCGAGTGCCGCGGTGGCCCGCTGGCGCTGGAGCACGGCGCGCGCCCACGCGCGGACCCTGCGCCTGCGGCGGTGCCACGCGGGCGATCTGGACCGGAGAATGGGTAGAATAGGGGCACCGACGCCGCGCTGAACGGGCCGGCGGCTGGGGGCACTGGAGAAAACGGGCCGACCCCTTCGGCCTCGCCGAAACCTCCTGGGCCACCTTTGAGGCGGAGGCGGAGGAGGAGGCGGAGGCGGAGGAGGCGGAGGAGGAGGACGAGGAGGAGGAGGAGGCGGAGGCGGAGGCGGAGGCGGAGGCGGAGGAGGATTCCCATTGCATCGTTCGGTCGCCACCTGACGTTTTCCACAGCGCTGGGGCCTCAGGAGCCGGCGGCGCGAGGTGGGCGGCCGTCCGACCAGGCGGGGGGGGTGGCCTGCCGAGAAGGCGGTGGGGCTCTCGGAAGCCCTCGGGGCTTCTGCCCCTGCCTCATTAGAAGCCCTCGCGGCGCGAGGAGTTTCCAGGCCCTCGCGGCGTTAGGAGCACTCGCGGCTCCTTGGACGAAGCTCTCGCGGCGTTAGGAGCTTCCAGACCCTGATTGGAATCCCCCTGCCTTTTAAGGAGCCCCCCGCCTTCTCAGAAGGCCGCTAGCCTCGCGCCAACCGCCTGTGGTCACAGCCAGCTGAACCATTCGGGCACGTCTAGGGACGATCTCCGGGGACCTCGGGACACCTCAAAAAAAAAGGTAGTGAAGACACCCGGGCCCTCAAGTGGGCACCTCGGGGTGCCCGAGGAGGAGGGGCAGAACACCAAGGGGACAAACGACCACCGGCAGCGTCGTCCTCTATCCTCTCCGCGACTCGGAACTGCTAAATTCGCGCCAAAGGAACAGCAACGAATGTGCCGCGGATATGCCGCGCTGCGAAGCGGCAATCCTTGTGTGAAACGTTCTGCCAGTAACAATACAGCGCAGGCGGCAACCATTCGCTAGTGGCCAGCGACATTAACAATTAGGACGCCTGTGACAATCCGCGTTCCCTTTGTTGAAAGCAACCGTTCCCTCCACCGATCGCGGGCTTGCTCGCTTCCCCTCCTTTCGTTGTACTACCTCACTCCCTTCGTCCCGCGCTCATTGCCTCGCTCTCATCGTCCCCTGCTTCGCTCCCTCGCTCACGTCCTTACTCGTCTGCCCACTCTCTTTCTTCCTGCAGTTCCTCCTCCACCCCTGCCTCCTGGAGCGCCAGGGGGACTGGTGACTATTCCTCACTCGTTCTCTTCTCCCTCTTCACATCCCCACGCTCACCAAACTTTGATCTTCTCGCTTACGCGCGATGCGCGCTCGCCTTCGCGCTCTCGCGAAGGGCCACGACCCCATGGATATAAAACAAAAAGCATTCCGCTGGCTATGTCACTGAAACCTGCGCGCCAATCCATGGGTCGGTCTCCCGGTGTCCCAGTGAAGCATTATGTTGCGCTCATAGGTGTCTGAAACCGAGAACATGAGCGGCGAAATCCAGCTCGTGTCGCCACGAACGGCGTCTAGAAATGATGCCACCGAACCCACCCGCCCAACCACAAAAATCCATTGATGGCAAGCCACTCCTGGCTCTGTAGGAGTAAGATATGCTGGAGCAGGATGAGCGGAGTCGGACAAGTGAGTGGAGTAGGCGAGTAGGAGAAGGGAGGTGGAGTTGCAGAATACGTGCGCGAGCCTATGCTGGCAGCCGCATACAGTGGCAGCCGAATAGAGCAGATGGGGGTCGGCAGCAGCAGAAATGAGTGAGGAGCCTGGAGCGAGGAGGGAGGGAGGAGGGCATCCATGGAAAATCTTTCCGCTGCTGGGCCATGTTCTGGAATCCAGCCCTCTCGCATCCTGACCATGCCTTCCACCAATGCATTGCCTTCTCAACCAGAAGCACAATGACCAATGGCCAATGCCACTACCTCTGACCCCACTCGCCCTCCGCACCCTCCCCCATTCCAAAACACAGTCCCAGCACAATCAGCCGCTCAGAGCGTCATAGTAGAACACCTCGGACTTCCTGCAAGGCAGAATGACTATGAAGAAACAGCACTCGACGGGAAACCACTCTGCGCTTGCACAAAAGACGGGTCAATAGAAAAACCAGCCAATGTGTCAAGCCACCGTCAAACAATTGTTCCAAATGGATATGCCAAATTTACGTCGACCGTGGAGAGCAACAGTGTCAAACAGACAGGCTAAAAGATCTTCCAACCATCAGGCTGCCGCCGCCCCGCACCGAGAGGTGAACGAGCCGCTCCAGCCAGAGGCCAAGCCAGCGGGGTGCAACCATTCGCGGGGCGAGTGGGCCAGAGGATGCCCCGAGGCTTTTTTCGGGTCCTCCGATGTCCCGCCGAGGGCACTTGACGCTCTCCGAGGTCTGCTCAAGTGATTGATGGTGAAGCCCGTCGCAGTCCAACGAGGTCCCAGTGAGTCCCGAAAGTGGCCCTATGACTTTCGGGTCGGGCAAAAGGGGGGGATAGCAAAGGGGGGGTTTTGAGAATCAGCTCACGTAGCTGATTTTCCCGGCGCCTCCCGGCGCCAGAGGCGGCTGTGTATCGAGGAATGGGCCCCTCGGTGAGGCCGAAACCAGCTGCATGCAGCAAATTTCGTAACCCCCCCGTTCCCAATCCCCCCCTTTCGCCCGGCCCGAGACTTGTGCACAGCAGGTGGTCCACACACACACACACACCACAAAACACACACACACACGCACACGACTCAAGCAACGGCACGCGCAACCAACAAGTACTCGTGGGGCCCATGCCACGCCCGTGGCCCGACCGGGATCTCTCCGACGACGCCTTCGAGCGACGCGAGGGAGGAGGGAGGAGCTGGGAAGGAGGGAGGAAAGAGGACACAGACCAATGGGGAGGAGGAGGAAGAGCGATGGGGAACAAAAGACAGGGATCGGGAGGGGGGAAAGGAACGGGAAGGAGAAGGACAACAATCTGGAGAAGGAAAGGAAGAATGATGAACGGAGAAACACGCAACCCCACCTTACTATTTAGGCCCTGCCTAGGGTTGGCCGGGAGAACAGAGCTAACCCGCTACCGCGATGCATTTCTGCTTGGCGACCACAGCGGTTGATTGATCGCGCCTGCGACGCCTGGATGGGCCCATCCTTCAGAGGCACACCACCCCATTGAATGGGATTGCCTGTCCTCGCGCAGATCAAGATGCGCGAAACAGGCGGGCGGTTTAGAATCAAATAACAGCGATAGACGGGGCGTCCACTCTGTCTTATTTCAAAGTCAGCTGGCAGATATGGCCCAGGAGAGTCAACGCCAATCTGGCGAAACGCGCGGGGATCCGCGTGGTGCCACACTGGGAAACAACTTCCCCTCGCCTCCTCAACCTGTGCTCCTTCTCCGAAACGGAGCACACGTTGAGGAGGAGAGGGAGGGGGGAGGCAAGCTAGGTGCAGTCGCGTCATATCTGACGTCCTACCCCTGCTTCCCATCCCTTTCATGGCGTAGATCTCCTCTCTATTCGCACAATCCGACGTCGTAGCATGGCATCATGGCATGGCATAGCATGATGTTGAAGAGCAACGCCTAGCATGGCATAGCATGGCGTGACGACGCCGCAAAGTGGGGGGGTCGTCTGCGGCCCAAGTAATCAACGAATCGACACCGAATCTGCAATCATCACTTCCGATGAGTTGTTCGGGAGGTCATTTCCTAGATTTTCACGAAAAGGTCTGAAGAGGTCGCCAAAGGGCTACGCGGGCCTCTGGCGGAGGCCTCCAGATGCGAAGGCCTCCTGATGCGAAGAATAGGCGAGTAGCCGAGTCGAGCAAGCCGAGCACGGCCGAGCCGAACGGTGGGAGGAAACTTTGGATTGCAGGACCGTTGAAGCATTAAGCCTGTCGATTAAAGGGTGGGAAGGAGGATGGATGCGTGTTGGGGTCCCCAGGGACACGAGCCCTGTCAGGGCAAGAAATCTGCTGCGTGCAGCTGGTTTTGCCCTCGTCGCCACGTGATTTCCTCGACAACTTGGCGCCTTGGGCCCCAAGAGGAGCGGGGAGCACCGGCTACGTGAGCTAAGTTCCCCCAATCCACCCTGGCCCTTCCGTCCGACCCAATTCCAGGAGAATCAGATTCGAATCGATAAGTCGGATCGGTGATCGAACTGAATCGGATCGGCGGAAATCGGCAGCCGAGTCAGGAAAAGTCGAATCGGTGGAAATCGGCAGGCCAATAGGCCTCCGTTGATAAATCGGAGCCCGAATCAGAATCCAGTCGAATCGAGTCGGAAGCCACAGAAATCGAATCGAATCGGAGGAATCGAAATGAGCCCCGCGAGGGCCTGCCCTGGACACCAACTTTTCATCCCGGGCTGCTCTCTAGACGGCCCCCAGGCCCAGCGAGAGCCCCCCCCCCGAGAGGCCGACCACTGCCAAGAAGCCTCCAGGACACGCTGCCCGCAGCGAGGCGGCCACGCTCGCGACGAGCGCCCCTCAGGACAACCTCTCATTGACGGCGAGAGGAATAGCGAGGAGTGCGGGGCTGCGAGGCGGGGATTTGTCCATATCCACCGCCTGGGAACCGACGTCCTGGTGCCCCAGCAGGCGGTGGACCTGGATATATGTGGGCCCCCGAGGACCCGCATTTACCCATATCCACCGCCTGCGGAGGTGCGCGAAGATCGATCCCACAGGCGGTGGTTCTGGAGAAATCCCCGCCTCGGAGAGGCGGCCTCGCCGGTGACGAGCGCGCCCTCACGCCGACCGACGAGGGCGCAGGCCTGTCAGTTTTTACCTCCGCTCCGCGGAGGGCGAACCAAAGAACGGCAGCGTCACCTGCCGACCTGAATTGTCCTTGGCATCTGACTCCTCGTCCTCCTCTGCGGGCTCGGCCCCTGCTCATGGGCCTCAGCGCTTGCGCAGGCCATGCAGGTCCGTCACCACCGCGCGGTGTCCGCGGCTGCCGGCGGGGTGCCTGAACGCGAACTCGAGGAAGCTCCCTGTCGACGTCGTTCGTCCTCGTCGTCGTCCTCCTTGATTTGGCCTTCGCGGCCGGGCGCGGCTCGAGAGGCTGGTAGAAATGGCCCCGGGACGGGGTTACTAAACCGACTTTGAGCGGAATTCCCTGCCGCGACCGCCCGAAGGCTGCCCTAAGGGTCGCACAAAGGATTCGGACGAAATGATGCAGGCTGCAGGATGCGAGGCCCTTCAGGGGGGCGGAGAAATCAGCAAGCATGTGCTACTCTTACAAGTTTCCAGCACACCATCGGACGTCCATCCCGTGCGGACGACTTGCACTGGCAAGCAGATCGAAGCACTTGGCTGAGGATGGGTCGGACAGACGTGGACGCCAGGGAACCCTTGAAGGAACGCCAAACCCTTACCACGGCGGTCGAGTCCAATCGAAGGCCGCTGGTCACTCGTATGACTGGATCGATCGAGCGGGCCCGTCCAGCGCGGAGGGCTGTTGCCCGTGGGGCTGTGCAATCCGACCCGGCGGTGGCGCGCAGACACTGGCACGAGTCGCCGAGCCGACCGAACCGCGGGCGGCCCTGCTCCGCCTATGCTGCCGAGGATGAGCAGCGCGCTCAGGGCCAGGCAGCACGTCTCCCTCACGGGAAAAACAAAACACGGCACACGCAGAAACTCTTGGAGGTCCCCGCGGATTCCTCGGATCCGCGCTGGGCCCCCCTCACTGGCGCGCGGAGCGCGCCAGGGGCGGCGCCAGAGGCGTCGCCAGGGGGGCCCAGCGCAAATCCGAAAACTCCGCGCGGACCTCCATCAATTTACGTTGATGGTGTTATTCCTTCTTCGACCTCAGGTTCGAGACGGAGAGCGCCGGCCGCCCCTCCGACCGCCTGTTGATGGGTCCATTTTCCACCACCATCACCATCGGTAGGAGAGGGATGAGGAGGAGGAGGAGGAGGACGAGGAGGAGGAGGACCTCCTCATCCTCCCTCCTCCCCCGTCCTACATATGGTAGTGGTGGTGGAAATTTTGCCCACCGCCTGTGGTGCTCCATGGAGACCAGCGCGGGGAGGACCAGGCCCAGGGGCCCGGCCGCCCAGGCGCCCAGGAAGCCGAGGAGCCACGACACGTCCTCGACGAGCCAGGCCGCGAGCGCGCAGAGGGCGAGCACGGCGGCCAGGGCCCTGCCCGGGGGACCCCCCACCCCCCCTCCACCCCCCAGCTCGACGACGACCACGACGACGACGACGACGACCACGACCACGACCACGACGACGACGACGACGACGACGACGATCCGTCTCTTGAGCCCCGAGACACGCCAACCAATCAGCATCGCCGGCCCTGGCCAGGCCCTGTCCCGCATCCCTCCTCGAAGTCAAACGGATATTTTACCCGCGACGTGGCGGCGCCCCCAGGTCGCCAATATTTCAACGTTCGCGCCGAAATTGGTGACTGCAAACGCACAATTCTGACCCAGTGAGCCGCGTTTCGCCCGTCGACCAATATCAAAAACTTGCGTTTGATTTCGACGAGGGTTGCGGGCGCTGCATCGGCGAAGATACTCCGCCGTCCTGGCTGGGCCAGGAAGGCCTACGTAGAGAAATGGAACGCGGCAGACACATACACTTTCGGAACTCCTCGCGGATTCCTCGGATCGGCGTTGGAGCCCCCTGGCAGCGCCTCCGGCGCCACCCTTGGCGCGCCCCGCTCGCCAGGGGAGAGGGGTAAATCCCCCATCCAAGAAATCCGCGCGGGCATCCAAACCTCTTTGTTTATGTCAATTCATGTTCCCTGACAACATATATATATATATGTATATGTATAGATGTATAAAAATATATATATATATATATATGTATAGATGTACATATATATATACATATATATATATATGGACATCCCCCCTCCAGCACCCATGAATCGCCTGCTTGTGGTGCCATCTTCCTTTCCTACTCGTTCATTTCCTGACATGTGTATATAGTCATGTATGCATGTGTGTATACATGTATGCATACGTGTATGTATGTATGTATGTATGTATGTATGTATGTATGTATATATGTATGTATGTATGTATGTATGTATGTATGTATGTATGGATGCATGTATGTATGCATGCATGTATGTATGTATCTATGTATGTATGTATGCGCATGCATGTATATGTATATATGTATGTATGTATGCATGCATATATGCATGCATGTATGCATGTATGCATGTATGTATGTATGTATGTATGTGTATGCATGAATGCGTGCGTGTATGAATGTATGTATGCATGCATGTATGTATGTATGTACGTATGGTTGTAGGTGTGTATGCATGTATGTATGGATGCATGTATGTATGCATGCATGCATACATGCGTGCATGCCTGTATATATATATGTGTATATGTGTGTATGTATGTATGTATGTATGTATGTATGTATGTATGTATGTGTGTCTGTATGTATGTATGTATGTATGTATGTATGTAGGTATGTAGGTATGTAGGTATGTAGGTATGTATGTATGTAGGTAGGTAGGTAGGTAGGTAGGTATGTATGTATGTATGCACGTGTGTATGTATGTATGTATGTGTGTATGTGTATGTATGCATGTCTGTATGTATGTATGCATGTGTGTATGTGTGTACATGTGTAGGCATATCTGTATGTATATGTACATACATACATACATACATACATACATACATACATACATACATACATACATACATATGTGTGTGCATCTACACATACATACTCCTGTATATATGCTTATATAAACACACATCTACGTTCATGCATATCTCGACCTTCTGGCTGGGCCAGGAAGGCCTCATCTTGAACGCCCGTCCAGCGGGGCAAATCACGGCTGAGCCGCCCCCCCCCGGCCTGTACTCCTTCCGCGAGGCGGCCCCACCCGCGGTCCGACGCGCGGCAAAGACCTCCAGGGCCGCCGCGCGGCACGGCACCGAGGTGCACCCGAAGGACACGACGAGAACGACGGCCAGGGCCGCCCGCGCGACCAGCAGCGCGGGCCACCGCCACCTTGCCATCGCTCGGACGTCCATTCCCCGTGCGTGTTTCGATTCCGTGCGTGATTTTGTTGGCAAGATGATACAGAATGCTCCTCGATAGTCCTCGCCGAGAAAAAATGCACATGTCCGAGCGATGCCAAGCCACCCGTCGGCATCTCGCGGGGCCGCGAAGCTCGCGAAGACGTTGCCCTGGACGGAGCCCCCGAAGCGCAGGTATCCCACCGCGCCCACCAGCGTCGCCAGTGGCGCTGCCCGCCGGAAGCCGCCGCTGAGGGCGAGCTCGGCTCCTGACCAGCCTCGAGCTGCTCCTTACCCCTGAGATTCACAAGCCCAGGGCGGTGACAGGCATGGAGATGTGCCCTCAAAAACTGGGAGGGGGGGTCCTGAAGACCTGCATCGAGATGGGGTGATGCCAATCATAGGGATAGGGGAAAGTTTCAGGCTGGTGTCGACCAAGCGCAAGAGTGACCTTCGGCAACAATGACCTTCGGTACGCGGGGTGCCGATCGTTGCGCGCGATCCGATAACAATGGTACCAGCGCGGTGGGTTCTGAGGGGATAAAGGGGGCGATCGATGGATACAAAGGTGGGTTATATCTGGCCGAACCTGGCTTACAACATGGCTACATGCCCCACCATGCCCCAAGCAGCTTGGAGGCGTTAGCGATCCGAGATCAGCGGGCTCCGCCCACTAAGCGGAGTTATCGAACACCCCTAAGCCACTCGGGGCCTGTGTAACTCAGTTGTAAGCTGGTTTAGGCAACTAACTACCTACCTTGGCACCGACTGATAAGCCTCATGTCCCCTTGCGTGCTTGGGTTGGGCTCCCTCCCCCCCCCCTCCCATTGAAAACCACGCACCAAAGGCCACCCGAAGCTAAGGATCACTCCGGCACGTGCAAGCTGGTGGTAAGCTCCGTGCGCGGGGGCGCCGAGATCTGGGCCGTCGTCGAGCTCGCCGACCCGGCCGGGCGGCGGCGGCAGGACGTCCAGCGCGCCCGCGTGCAGGCAGAACTGCGACGCCAGCAGCGCGGCGGCGCTGAGCAGCCCGAGGGGCCCTCCGCAGAGGAGGCTCGCGCCGTCTGCCGCGGCGGCGCCGTCGTCGCCAGCGGCAGCCAGGTCGGCGAAGCAGATCAGCAGGAGGAGCAGCAGGGCCTAAAGGGAGGGCACGGGATGCCTCCATCGCCACCGGCGCTCCACGGGCTCGAACCCAGACCTCCAACGCGGCGTCCCTACAAAGCGCTCGACATCATCCCCAAGACTCGGTGATGCTCTGCTGCGGACTGTTTTCTTGCAATCCTGGCCTTGAGTCGGGCATGTCCTCCTACAGCCTGATTCTGGATGAAGAATCGAATAATCCAAACAGGCCCAAACATATTCAAAAACATATAAGAACATCGTCTCATGTTTTAAATGTTTGAATACTCCTCCTGTAGAGGGAAACGCCCGACTCATCCTGGCCCCTGCGGGCCGAACTCGTGCATCCTTCGCGACGCGCTGAAGTCTGGGCAAGCCCGCCCATGGCCTGATTGGGTCCGGTGGTGAACGCTTTCCCTCCCCAGGGGCCAGCACCACGCCTGCGACGCACGCGAATCCCTGGAGCTGCCAGCGCCTGCAGGGCTCCCAAAGGAGGTCGATGCATAGGGGCAAGCACAGGGAAACCGGAAGCACCGCAGCTTGAAAGTTCCACGCGGATAGGAACGACCAGCCAACAATCGCAGGAGCAAAAAGGTTTGGCCTAGCAACTTCTCCCAAGTTTCCTGCAAGAACCACGTGTGAACTGTGCTCCTGCGGAACCTTGTGCAGGAAAAGCCTGCTTGAGACCCAACAGTAATTTGAAATGAAACGCGTCTGCGCCCAAGCGGGCTCTTAGGCGGGGGGCCATCTCCAGAGCCTTGCGGAGGCCTGAAAAATGCCTCGCACGTGCAAGACATCCGAACACATCGATATTCGAGCGTCGGTACCTACCGCGTACAATCGAAGCATGACCACGCCGAAGGCACAAGGGCCTTTGGAGAGACCCAACAATTCAAAAAACATCAAGGTAGATAGCCCAAGCGCGAAGCGCAGACGTGAACTATATTATTTCAACACCTTGTGCATATGTACCCCAGGGGTGCTTCTATCTATCACGACCACGCGGGACCCCTGGTCGCTGAACTGGGCCGCGCTGCTGCCGGTTGGGCATCAGCGGTGCGTATACATCGTAATGCTGTTGGTTGTGTTTCTTTCACTCGGGTGGGCACTCCGAGCAACTGGGATAATTTCACGCTTACATAAAAATCAAAACACCCTCTGGCGAGGTCGGATTCGATTTCGACTCCGGTTCAGCCGCAGAATACGAAGCTGCGGCCACGAACGGTCTGGGACTGGCATGGGCCGACGCGGCATGCGAATCAACTTACCACTCACACACTGACCCTCGCGAAGGGAAACTTGCTTTGACGAAGGCAAACGCGCAATCCCACGCCGCGGGCTGCCAGGACATGGTTGCCACGGCATGTCGCGGCATCTGCAGCAAGCCATAAAAACATTTAGCATGCCACCGCCGCCTCATATATCATAGTGCCGCAGCACGGCGCGGAATGAGACTGCGCGGTACATCGTCGAACTGATCGCTCCTTTGAGCGGGGACATGGTGACATATTTGGTCGATCCTTGCAGGCAAGGCCCCGAGAAAAGGGCCAGGAAGGCCACCCTCGGGGGCCCTCCCAGGCGGCGGAATATCGCTGGGGTCCAGGCCCCAACGATATCATGCCATCGCCTTCTGGCATGACATCGGCGGGCGTGAGCCCTAACGATATCGCGCGACTGGGATGCCCAAGATGGCCTCCCAGAGGTCTGCGGAAGCTGTCGGGTGCCATCTTGGGCCACTCGCGGGCCCTTCCCTGGCTGGGCCCATCGTTGGGCCTGAACCCCAACGATATCACGCTGCCTGGGCAGGCCGAAGAGGGCCTCTCGGCGCCTGTGCAAGCTGTCGGGGGGGGGGCATCGCGGGCCTTCTTGGAACCCTCTCGGGGCCCTCCCGGGCCCCCCATGGGGCCCTCGCCGGCCATGTGATATCGTTGGGGCCCATGCCCCATAGATATCACGCAGCCTGGGAGGGCCCCAGGAGGGCTGGGCCTTTCGGAGCTACGCGGGAAGGTTTCGGGAAGCCCGCGGGCGGGCTTGCACCGCTCAGGCGGGGAAGTCGACGAGGCACTCGGCAACGCTACGCGTTGAATTCCAGTGTTGATTTTTGCCGTCTGCCGAGGTGGGCGTCCACGTCCAACGGCGCAGTGGACCAGAGGGCCCGCTAACTTGCAATGAGCGCCGACTCCAACGCAAGCCGCGTCCTCCTGCCCGCCCCTCTCCCTTAGCTGGGTTCCGGGGTTTGGGGCGCCCCTCTCGACAAAGCTCCAATCGGGCCCCGAGTCGAAGCCCGAGACATCGTAGAGCACTTGTCTTTGAGAGCCCCCCAAGCCCAGTGCAAGCGACTATCCTACGCGCGACCGCCCCAGACCCGCTCAGCAAACTTTAAAAAGACAGCGAGTGTAGCAAGAGACATAGGGTCGTAGAACTCACTCAGCGAGCGATTAAATCCAGGAAGGCTGATCACCGTCGTCCAGGAGATGCCCATAGAGACTGTGCAGCTGCTGCTTCGCTTCAATCGAAACGTTGCGCCACGCAGAAAAGGGGGTGCCATCTGGGCCAGGATTCCCGATTCGCCTCGTCCGTGGAAGTTCTACATATTGATCGAGAGTGCCTTTCCATGGGGACCGTTGGCGCGCGCTCGCAATGCGTTGGCAGTCGTCGCACTCAATCGGCCCAACGAACTGGGGGAAGTAATCGGCAAACTTGGGCCCCCCAGGAACCCTCAAAGACGGCGCCCCAGCGTTCCGCGACGCGACCGGCAGGAAAATTCGGGCAGGGGTCGACGGAGCCATCGGGGGGGGAGGGAGGGCGGCGACAGCCCGCAGCGAAATTCTACGGCGAGTGAGCTGCCAGGGGCGCGCCACGCTCTTCAGCCGCTGGATCTGCTGATCAGCACCCCGTGATACTGTGCCTGCAGACAACGCGCGTTTGTTCTGCTCGAGATCCTTGTGCGTGGGGCTGGCAAGATGTGCGTGGAAAGCTAGCGACTTTCCATCCTAGACTCACATCATCGCTCTCCTGCAATTTGGGGCAGGCCCGGGGAACTCGCTAAAGACGCAGTTGACAGGGAGCAAGCGCGGGGTAGAGAAGCAGCGCGCGAAGGCGAAGAACAAGTTTGACACAGCATGCGACTTGTTCATACAATGAGTGCGCAGTGTGCTCGAATGTGCGCTGGCGCACTCCATGCGCGGCAGCGCGCATGCAGCCCATGACATGGCAACCAGCACTGCCAGCACGCAGCCGCCATGCAGCTCTGCGAGCAAGACAGAGAACAGGCTGCGATACGCAATCCAATCGGGGATGACAGCGTTCTCCGCCGGCACAAATGCACGAAACGAACAGAAAACGGTCACGCGATCCCTCGCGCGTTCCTGAGCGCCTGGCTTCCACGAGACACCGCAATGCACGGCGCACTCGAGGAGGTCGATTGAGGATGAGGCGGGAGTTGATGCGATCTTGCTGTAGTCGATACCGGTAGCTAATTCTTGTCTACGTGCGAAATCATCTCGTGCAGTTGTTGCACACCCTGGTAGAAGCTCACGAAAGGCAAGGGCTTCAGTCACCTTAGGCACTCGTTCTTCGCACGGGGTGGCATTCAAACGAGCTTCGCCTTCTCCCAAACAGTTTCAATCGCCAACGATCGGCGCGCAAGCGTTGGTCGATGGAAGGAGGAAGGAGCGAATCTTGAAAAATAAGTATTGCCTTATCTGACCGTTACTTAGTTCTGGGAGGAGGTGGATGTTGAGGATCTGCAGGTTCCCACTGCTACCGCGACATCGCGACAGAAGCACCCGCTTCGGCGCAAGATCTGGACTGTCGATCGAATCAAACTCCTGCTTGAATGAACTGGCAAGGATAGTAGAAACGCCGCCGGCATTAGCATTATCTGTGAAGCTCACGTAGAGCGAGCGACGGGGACAATCATGACGAAAATTTCCGAAATCACTTGGGAGACCATGACTTTCCTGGACGCGTGCAATATCATGTTCCGGAAACTTTCGTAAACGCTGGCGTTTGATCATTATGGTACGTTGGTTGCTATGTACACTTCCGATCAAAACCGGACTGTTCCAAGTGACGGTCCTGCACGAGCGGCCCGGAAAAAACTGGCGCCCGGATCAGGGGGAGGGGCGGAAGGGGGGGGACAGGAGAAACACACGCAGCAGCAACAGGTGGCGCAGAGCGAGAGCACAGAGGGCATGCATCACTGGTGCTCACTTCATGCATCAGAGGACTTGGGGCACCACTTCAAGACGATTTGACATGCTCCAATATCGTCTCGACGCCACCTGCAGACAGTCCCCAGATGTCGAGATTCACTTGGATGGGCTCGTAAAGGAACGTCTCTTCCCCGATCTGCCATACCCGAGCGAGTTCCCAACATTTCGAGGCGTTTGTGACCTGAAGAATCCTCTTCCCGCCGTTTACCCCAAGGCGAGAGTCGTGAGTCCACATATGGTGCTTACTCACACGGTCATGAACGGGCTGCCACATCGAATAACATCTTTTTTCCCGCCGTCGAAGGTGAAGCGGAAGATCTCCACGGACACGAAAAGGATGGAGTTTGTTGTCTCTCGGGTCTTACCGATGAAATCCATGTTCGTTAAAACGCATCTGGAACGAGCGGGCCATGGTCTCCCCGTTGAAATGGAGCGCCTAGACCTGGCTGAATTTGCGCCACGTGATCTGCGCGTCATCGGAACATTCGGGGAAGTCGCCGAGGATGCTGGTATAGTGTTTCTTCCGCTCGGATTCGTGAAGCGGCCTCGGGGAGCCCGTGACGTAGCGTTTGGTCGAATCCACGTTGTCGTTTTGCGGCGCGTGGTTCACCCTCGAGCCCTTCCTCCTGCTGCCGTCGGATTCTCTCGTAGAGCCCGTCGCGACTGATGCAACACTTCCGTCATGTCTTGCCGAAGTGCAGCGATCGTTCGATCCTGTTGAGCTTGCTTTTCATTGACGCCCGCTGAAAACGTCGTGATGTCGGCTTGCATCCCAGTCGACTGTGACTTGTTGTTCTCCCCGAGAAGCGATCACATCTGCTCCATCGTGATAGCCATGGCGGGTACTTCCGGAGACTAAACTGGCTCGCAGTGTTTGGGCAGACATCCTGCAAGGATCGAAACAGACAAAAGCGCCGGACCCCAACGGTCTTGCCTGCCGCGGACTAGCGGCACCCGTGCTGGCACGAGGGTGCGGACGCCCCCAGATGCAGGCATCTTGGGCCAATATGGCTACGGAGGAAAAGGAGGAGGAGGAGGACGGAGGAGGAGGAGGAGGAGGAGGAGGAGGAGGAGGATGGAGGATGAGGGGAAAAAGGAGGGACTCGGAGGATGGAGTATGATGAGGGGGGAGTTGCAGGAGGAGTGCTCAGCCCCGTCCGCGTCCCCCGCCATCACGCCTGGGGGCGCGCAGCGCCACCCCAGGGAGGCACAGCACGACCGCCACGGCCACCGCCTGCCCCCGCGAGACCTCGCCTGGAGGCCGGGTGGCGGACGGAGGCTGCGTTGCGAGCTGCTCACAAAGGGTCCCAGCTGCCCTTCCCCCCCCCTCTCCCCATCCGCCTCCAGTTTCGCCCCTGCCCGTTCCTCACCCACCGTTCCAAGGTGTTCCTCATCGTCATCCTCCTCGCTGAGGACGGGAAGGAGGGAAATCAAATAATAGGGCGGGAGGGGTGAGGGGGAAACGCGGAGAAAAGGAGAGGAAGGGAGGAGGAGGAGGAGGAGGAGGAGGAGGAGGAGGAGGAGGAGGAGGAGAGTTACAGAGCGGGTGATGGGGGCTGAGGAAAGCGGGAAGAACAGAGGATACGCAGGAGAAGGCATGAGGGGTGAAGGGAGGGGCGCAAGGAAAAAATGAAGGAACGAAAAGCACATAAGGATGTATAATGTCGAACCTCGGTGGCAGGAGAAGGGGGGGGAGTGCGGAGGGCAAGGGGAGGGGCGGCAGGAGGGAGAACATACGAAAGGAGAGGGGCAGGATGCGGGGGGCAGAAGGGGCGGAGAGAATGGAGGAAAGGAAGGGGCTACAGGGAAAAAAGGGAGGAGAGGAGGAAGAGGGAGGAGAGGCAGGAGAGGGAGGAGAGACAGGGGAGGCGAGAAAAAAGGAGGAAAGAGGACATGAGGGAAAGGGGGGGGGCCGCGCTTGGCCCGCCCTTGGGATCGCTGGGGTGGAGCCCGGACACGGCCAGCCACAGCTGGGTCAGGGTGTCCGCCAGCGCGGCGAGCTGGGCGGCCAGGAGCCCAGAGCTGTACAGCAGGATGGCCAACAGCGTGGCGGCCAGCCCCTGGGGGTTCCGCGGAGGAAGGAAGGGGGGAGGGCACGGGGAGGGGAAGGGTGAGCGGGCCACCAGAAGTAGAGGTAACGATGAGGAAGGAAGGAAGGGGAAGGATGGGGAAGGAAAGGGAAGGGAGGGGAAGGGTGCGCGGGCCACCAGAAGTAGAGGTCTCGGGCAAGACGCTCTGTGTTACGATGCACTGAATAGCGCGGTCAACATGCAACAAAGGTATAGCACGGGCACGGGAGGCGTCCGCCTTCCGTGCCCCCGCGCAAAACAGCGGCGTAACATGGAGACGAACGTGCACGTCGAGGGCCATGAAGGACAGCCGAACGGCTTGTCCAAGGCATCGTGGACCTATACGCCGACGTCTGAGACGCCCGTATATGGCGAACTATGTTCGCAAATGCGGTGTCGACGCGGCAGCCTTCCCAGCACTGGCTCAAGGGCCAAAAATGGAGACATCAGAAGACCATTGCCGCTGAGCGCGCACGCTACACGTGCAATGCGTGCCGACGCAAAATGCGATCCAACTCGCCTATGCACTCCCCTGATCCGGCCACTTGCGGGCATCCTCACGGCGCCCCCATGCACAGGGAATGCCCCGGCTGCCGCGAGGAGGAAGAACGCGACCATCCAGCACACGCCAACGAGTTCAGCCAGTGAAGGTTCGCGGGTCCTCACGCGCGGCCGCGCCCACGCACCGGCCAACATCCACGAGGATCAGTGCCGCATGGAAAACCACGCCGAACCAGAGATCAAAAGGAGCCAGCTCATGCTCCAGCGATGGGGCTCAGGGCAATGGACCTGGCAACTGCGCTGCCGGTCCGCGACTACGAGCCAGTCCAGCAGCCGGCACAGCACCGAGACAGGCAGCACCGCGAACTGCCGACGCTGCTGCAGGCAGCCCAAAGGCTTTCAGACTGGAGTCGGTTTGACATCACCACGCCACTACGAGCACAACGTGGCGACTCGCGCGAGACACGCAGGCGATAACTACGCAGGCAACATCCCTGGTGGCACGAGGACTGCGTGCAGCCAACATGCCAGTCCATCCTCGACCTCGTCCCCACAGTAATCAACAACTTTCGGGCATGTCGTAGGTGGCTTCCACCAGCACGCCAAGCCATCCCCATACTTCGCCAAGTGGCACAATCTCTCACCGGCACGATGAATGCGACACCCTTTGCTACTAGGGCGGCATGAAGGTGCACTTGTTCTGCTGCGCCCAACGGTGGCACAACGGCCAAAATATCGTGGACAGATGTGAATCAACGTTGCTGGAAGCAGTCAGGAGAAGTCCTAGATCCAACAATTCGGACCAATGGAGACCTTCATCGTGGATGGCGAAGGCAAGAGACCTTCGTGGAGGAGATATGGAAGAGAAATGCCCGGGTGGACATCCGTGCTTCGCGTCAGCAAGCTCTTTTCATCGAGCGACGCGGGGCAATGCTAGGACGCGCGTTGCGCGCCGCCGAAGAGCAGCTTGAGCGCGAAGGCATCGCCGTCAATTCCGATTCAGCGCTGTCCGCGCCATCTTTGCGGGCAACGGCCTCATCGGCTTTGGCGGCGCTGCGCCCTGCCGCGTCCTCTCCGGCTGGCGTGCCTCCATGCTGCCAACGCTCGAAGCAGACGGAGAAAGCGAGGGCGACTGCGTCGACGGAACCGGACCGCCGCCGATGGGGAGGTGCAACCCAGCCGATTGCATGGGCGCATGCGTGATATCGCCCTACAGCCATGATCGAGGCTACTTCGACCGCCCGCGTTCACCGCGCCCCCTGGATGCGAGCCGCAGCGACCGGAGATGGACGCGTCAACTTGGGTGGTCAGACGTGGAGGTTCACCGGCCCCCCAGCACCAAGGGCGCGCCAGGTCGGGCAGGCCCTGGCAGCGTCCTATGTGGACACGGCCAGAGGCAATGTTACGGGCCAAGCACCGCAACTCCGAGATGGTCCGCAGACTGCATCGGGCCTTCATCGGCGCCGTCTTCGTCGACATGAGCACCGGCATGGCGCGATCAGGCCTGGCCTGGGATCGCGCGGGGGGGCTGCATAGAACGCATCACGTCAGGCACAGGGGCCAAGACCTTCGGCCAGTGGGGGGGCGAGCAAGGCAAGCAGCTGGCCGAGCAGGCTCGGCATCGCCCGGATGTCCTCGACGCTTTGCGCCATCTGTCCCGCGCATAAATGTCAGCCGCCGGACGTCCGCGCCGTGCGTCTCGTGCGCGTCCGAAATACGTGGGCGACTGGCCGGGCTGCATTCGCAGAGTGGTCATCCGGCGCTTCCCTCGGAACCCAGGGGACGTCCAGTCGCGCTCGCCACCCGCAGCCTCGTCGACGAACATTGGAAGAGCGCTCGCATCATCAAATAAGTCTTGGGCGGCGAACAGCTACTAGCAACCGGCGCCTGGCAGAGCCAGGGCGGGGCGGTCGACGACTGTGTGATCGACGTCGCGGAGGACGCGCCAGCCCTACCGAAGGCGGTTCACCAACAGCCCTGTCGGCGGCGCCCGAAAAGTCCGACAACGACTTCTCTGGCCACGTCCAGCAGGTGATGTCGGCACCTTGTCAGGAGGCCGAGGGCGCGGAGGATCTGACCCAGGAGCTGCGGGAGCTGGAGAGCACCGACAGCCACCAGCTGGAGGATCAAGGGTACCTGGAGAGCGTCGAGAGCTGGAGAGCTGCTGTGTATTGCCACCGGCCGCGCGAGTGGCCCCAGTGCCTGGAGACGCAGCACCAGCGTCGACACTACTACCTGCGCGGCGTCTCCGTGGACGACTACGCCAGGCTAGGGGAAGGTGAATGAGGAGAACGCGTATACTTGCATCTGGACCCAGGGGTGCTTCAGCATTTCTGCGCTGCCCGGGGGGCAACCATGTTGCTGACGCGCCGACCGCAACCGCGCATGCAATATGTGCCGCCGTCAAAACCGTGGCAAACATGCGCGACGCCCGTCTCCCATCCATAGGGGAGGTGCCGAGGCAATCCAAAGAGGTCAAACACATGTGTTTCTAGCGACGAACTCTCTGGGGCGCTCGAAACGTCATGGGCACCGCAAAAGACCAGAGCGCAAGACGGTCGGGATCGCCCGGTGCTGCGCGGCGCTGAGAGGGGCTCGAGCCCTGGAGACGTTCGCTGGCGCGGCGAAACGGGTGCCCTGGCGCATTGTCCGCAAAGGTGGCTCGTCACCCAGACTGGGTGCACGTCCCCGCGGGCGTCGAGAAAGCCTCCCTGCAAGCCGTGGCCCATGCCGAAATGCGCGAGCAGCCGCCCGACAGCGCTGCCAGCCTCTGGCGGGCTCCGGGCAGCGAGTCCTTCGACTCGCGGTCCGAGCGCCTCCGCTGCATCATGCCGGGAAGCGCCCAGACCCTTCTCGCTGAAGCTCGCCGTGGGCATCGCGCTCGGCCAAGTGCAACACCGAGCCGACGCGATGGGGCCCTGAGCTCAAGGTCGAACGCGAGGCGTTGTTACCTCTGGTGCCTGCGACCCGGAGCAAGCGCCCGCGCCGTTCAAGCACGTGGACGATCTGAAGACCACAGGGCGCAAGGAGCACGTTGACCGACCCATCGGCCACGCCGAGAGCGCCCTCGGCAAGATGAGCGGGGATTGTGAAGACGTCGCAAACTGCGGAGTCCACCGGCATCGCAGCGCCGATCGCACAGTGACTCTCGACCAAGACGAGTACGCCGACGCGCTGATCCACATCAGGCACGTCGGCCATACCTGGTGAAGCCGATGGCCGACGAGCCAGCAAGGGCTCCCATCCCGATCCTCTTTCTCTCCCTCCTTTGGAGAAGCTGCCTACGCGTTGCTCGCGCAACACGGCTTTGCCGTCTACCTCGCCGAGCTTCATGGGGCTAGGAACAAGCTGCTCATCAGGCGTGCGATGCAGCTCAGTACTGTTGTTCTGGCCATGCAAAAGATCAGATCGCGCATCGCCATCAAGATGATGGACTGCGCAGACAAGATCTGCGTGCACAGCGACGGCTCGGGAAAGCGAGAGGAAACCGGATGCGACATGCGCGGCGCCTTGCAAACGCGCGTGGGCAAGTGTGGCAGAACTGGTGGCCCAATCTGCCACTTGCTCGACTCCTTGAGCCGATCGCCAAGCGTGCGCGTTGATCAGCACGTGGCTCAGACCCGCTGCAGCATGTGGACCAGCAGACGGACTGCAAGCGCGCCTCCTGGCGCTCCCCAAGATGGCGCGCGGACCTGTGTCGGCAGATGGGATCCGGGGGCTGAGGGAGGAGAGGGGCTACGCTGTGCTGGCCAAGCTGCTGGCGGACGGCGCGCCCGCCTTCTCTGACGGGGCCCCAGGACACACAAATAAATACACACAAATAAAATAATTCACCATATTTTCCCATATTCTCTGGGTTTCTGTCTTCCCCCCCACTTCCCATATTTTCCCATATTTTCTGGGAAATCGAGGATTAATTGTGTCTGTGTGTTTCTTTTCCTCTTGATTCTCCGCCTTTGCCCTGGGCTGCGCGCGGCCGCCGTCGGAGAATGGCGCGGCAGGCCGCCCGTGGTGGCTTGCAGACCAGCTGCGCCAGAGGGAAGGAGGAGAGAGGAGGGGGAGGGGGGAGAAGGAGGAGAAGGAGGAGGAGGACGAGGAAGAGGAGGAGGAGAGGGAGGAGGAGGAGGAGGAGGAGGAGGAGGAGGAGGAGGAGGAGGAGGAGGAGGAGCAGACAGCCTGTGGCGCCACGCCCGCGACGCGGGGGCCGACCGTCGGACCCGCGACGAAAAAGGGGGGCATCGGCCGGGGACTCATCCTCGACATCCCGGAGGGAAGCTCTCGCCCGCGACCGCCCCGCGGCGAGGTTGGGCGAGGGGCGGCGCCAGAGGGCGGCGCCGAGCTCCCGCCGCAGCAACCTCAGCAAGTGACAGCGGCGACGCTGCTGGGCAACCCGATCCTTCGCACGTCCAGGCCATGTTCACTGGCGCAACTGCCGACGCGCATTTCGCGAACTGCGTTCGCGACTGCAACGCAGTCCATCAGGAAGAGAG